CTCTCTACACGGTCCGCAGGTTCTGTCAGCAGCTCCTTCGGGCCGCAGGAGTTCGACCATGGGCGCTGTCCGATGTTTTTTTTTTCTTGTTCCCTATAATGTTATTTATGTCAGAACTAGAAGCTAAAAACCATTATCATGACTATAAGTTGTGTTAGAAGAGATCATATCGTATGGTCTTGTTGTGATACTGTAACAAAGGAGCTTAAACACATACCGTGAACCAGCTCATAACTTTTGTAATTATATTTTTTCTATCATAATATCTCACTGTAATTCTTTCATTACTGTTACGGCCGTGTGGCTTAATGTTGAGAGCAGCGCAGACATACAGGTTTGTCTCCTGTAGAAGTCGCTGTAAAGTGTCTCAACTTGTTTCAGTGCCTTTAGGTTGGTGTTCTAATGGGTTCAGCCGCTCTCCATTACAGCATTAAGACTCCTTTAAAGAGAGGTAGCTCAGTCTATCAAGTGGTGGACATTTAAAATGCACTATTATGTGCTGGAATAGGCTATAAGGCCATAATATAAAAATTATGAAAACTTAATAAAATGGGCTGACTGTACTGATAAAGAAATGTAGGCTAGTCCGTTATTACCTTTACTGTAGGCAATCCATTCCGATAGGTATTCCTACACAATAAGCTACCTGATAAAATCCTGTTTTACTTCTCTTACCTCTTTTTATTTTACCGGTAGTCCATCTTAATGGACATTTCTATCAAACAGAAATTATATAAGTAGCTTTAAAACACTAGGTCAACCACAACTACTGGTGTAATCACCAATAAAAATACAAAAACCACAGCTAAGCCAACTACTAAATCCGCTGGTGCAACTAATCTTTATAGTGGGAGAGGTCACTAACATTAGTTTTTAATATGATTTAGTTTTGTTTTTTGTTTTTTTTCCGGGGACAGAGCGCACTCATCAAAAGAAAACAAAATAATCAGTAGTCTCCCACCTGACGTTGATCCTAAAAACAGAATAAGACCCGCTTATCGATTAAGGAGCAATACCCGGGTTAACGTGCAATTCACTTGATTATCATGTCATTCTTTCTAATTATCTATAACTTCTGCAACACCCAAATCTTTAAACTCATTACTATTTATTTAATTTCTGTCAGCAATACTGTGGAATATGTTTACATTTATGTTTAGATTTACATTTACTTTCTATATAGGCTCTTATTATCTTATTATATCTCTTAGGCTCTTATTATATTTCTATTTTCATTTTATTTTTACTTTTACTATATGTATATACCTATACATTCATTTCTATTATATATATTATATATAAGTACTACTTATGTGTGAGTATAAAACTGTAAACACAGTACAATACAGTAAAGTATTTCTGATTCTGATATCTTATAAAATTAACTTCTACAACGGAGAGTTATCACAAACACAACACACAACATAGCACCAATAAATAATTCCACAATAAAACAGATAGATGGATAGATACTTTATTTATCCCGAGGGAAATTCAAGAAAACATTCAAGAAACCAATCAACACGGAGATGAGACAATCAATCTGATTACAGAATGTGTACATGATGAACACCATATGATACAGTTGTTATGCCGATCAATATCCGGTAGATGGCGCACTAAGATCACAGATAAAAGACCAACAACACTACAGGCAATAAAGAAAGGCCTCTGATTGAGACAAATTGACAAACACAGAAAGTTAATTGACAAATCCTGATTGGTGCTTCGGGATATCTCAATTAATGAGCTTTTACTGCTGACTTTTTTTTAATTGAAGTTGATATATTAAGTGCTTGTGAGAGGCAAAGGCTGTCAGTGATTATATAATTGTATTTGTTACCATAAATTGATGTGGCCTGCTGTGCAGATTAATTGTCACATCCTCACCCTCTTACTTTGTTTATGTTCCGGGCCTAAAACTAAAACATTGTTTAAGTAAAACTCATTCATATACAGTCATGTTTTATGTTTAAAGTACATCAACTGTTTTTAATATTGGTATATGTTTTAACCTCACTTTGAGTCTTTCCAAATGAGCCTGATGAAGACTGGTTGATGAGTGGAGCTCCTACTATTACATGTCTTTATGTTTAAAAGTCCTTTATGTCTGAGTCTCTTTGATGACTTGGGTGACTCCAGCTATAATGGTTATACAGGCCGGATTAGTCATGGATCCTCAGAGCTTTCCTTCTGTGGGTTTTAATGTGTGGACCAAGGTCAACCATAGGTCAACACTTCAGGTCAAGTAGCATCTAGGAGCATTATGCAGGAGTGTTTTATATTTTTTATGATATACAGCTAATCCTCTCCTGAGTGGCTGAGCACAAGTGGTATACAGTATTAATCAGTGATAGTTTTATTTAAAAATATCAAAACTCTGAACAATGACACTTTGTATTGTGTAATAAATGTCACCTGCTTATAAAATAGATATTATAATCTATAATAAACAATTGATATATGCTCATGTTTGCTTGCTATCTTTGTTTAGCTGTATATCTATATTTGTATCTTCCTGTTAATTTGCTTTATGCACAGTTTATAAGTATACTAGGAACAACTCAGAATGTAATTCAAATCCCTTTGTTGTGTCAACATACTTGGCCTTGGCAAACCCACTGCTGTTGAGAGATGTCACTGAGATTACAATAGGCCTTCTTACATCCACACATTCATACACTATCGGACAGTAGCCAGCAGATGGCGCCACAAGATCACAGATGAAAATAAACGATCTGGTTGGCCTTCCTCGTGCATATTGTATATCAAATGAAACGCCTTTACCTTCTCAAATGAAACCTCTTATGGGGAAAAAAATAAGAAACATATGCTAATTCCTCTTTAAGCCAGTAAAGGAATAAATTAAAAGTTCAAACCATTAGTCCTTTCCCCTCCTTGATCCACCCACTGCCACCTTCTCATCTTGTGACACTTCAGAGTGGAGTAACAGGTCACGGTCAGGTGGTTGTTGAGCGGTAGTTCAGAGAAAGTAATGGCTGTCTTTCACTTGGACAATGGGGTGAGCGAGGCGATACGGGCGGATGAGACCGGCTTAATGCTCCGTGTAATGCATGTTAATGTAACAGGCACCGAGGGACCGCCGGCCGGAGTGCTTTGGGATTATTTATCACAAAACATTTGTATTCTTCCGTCGGAGAACGCTTGATCCCGGATAGCTGCACACTAATCCTTCACTCCGTTAATTAAAAAGAAGGGGAAAGCAATGGAACTGGTGGTAGTGATTTTTTTTTTCCTTTTCCAGAAATGTAATCATTTCTGGAGAAGCTTAACCATCTGCTTGAGGTTAAGTCTGCAGGCAGATTGTGTTTTCTGCTTATTTAAACCTGGGGATTTTAGGGTTTTTTTTTTCCTGGAAAGGGGAGGGTGTATTTCGGGGCTGCTTGTTGAAGAAGAGATAGGTCGGGGACAACGTTTCTGCCCAGGGAAAAGTATAAGTGATACTTATTATGTAACATCTTATTCCACAACGAGCATTTTCATCGTTGCACTTTTATTTTTTTACACAAGAATAAGTCGTGACCTTTGTTTTCCTCTCCCTTTAAATGCCAGACTGAACATAAATCATATCATTATTGATTCCTACAGTTATTATTTTCTAAGTAAGCTTAAAAGAGACATTTCACAAACAACCACTATCTTGAAGTATTCCCACCAGCCCCGTTTGTTTTGTTGTGAAGTGAAAAGATCACAACAACATCAGACATCCACGTCGCTTTGTTTCCCTGATCAATCTCACAGAGGACCCACCAGCGACACAGCTCTCGACAGAGGATGCAGTCCTCAGGTTTCAGGGGCAGTTTAACAGAAAGTGTAGCGTCTAGTGTAAAAGAAAACGCTGCCCCTAGGAAGCAGAAATATTTGTTTCTGGCTTCTTTCTCTCTCATCTCCTTCTTGCCTTTTTTTCTCCTTCTTTTTTAGTAGCTAACAAGCCCAGCGCTGCCCGGGGGCCAAAGCTCTGTCGTCAGTCCCAAGAAGAGACTTTCAGATTTCAAGCCACCGCTTTACATTAGGATGCCACTCGTGTCTGTCTGGAGACGAACCCGAATTCACAAAGGCATCCTTTAGTTTCTCTCTCCATCCCTCTCTCTGTGCTTCAGTGGTTGTCTAACTGACCAGGATTAACAGGAAAAAGATTAGATCTGAGCAAACATGTGGCGCACTCTAAAGAGGCCCGAGTTGTCCTCTTTGTCCTACAACCACCGTAGTGCTCAGTGGTGATACTTCCATCTACCGAGGTCACTTATAGTCAAAGATTTTAGTCCTCGAAAACATCCTCATCATTCATACTCGCCTTTTTCTGTCATCTCCGAGCTGTAAACACATCACCTATGGGATATTAATCCCCCCACTATAATACCTGATTAGAGACAAGTATGATTAAGGCTTTATGACATTGCTTTCATGTTGATTATGTTGATACATGTTCAGGCCAACTTAAGTGAATTAAACTCTTGTAATGCGCATTTGTATGAGCGTAACGCCGGCACGTGATTGTCACTAATCATTTTAGGCTCAGAAATGTAGCTCCCACTCATTTAAATATTGATTAAAATGGCATATCCTGACCCATCAAAGATTCTTTCTGTAAAACCCAATTTCGTGTGTGATGATTAATGGATGGGACTGTTTTTGCGATGTGGGCATTCATCTTCAAAGCGCTCTCATTAAAAAGCATTATAAAATCCCAGGAGCATACTGGCACTGGCCACCGGCCCATTTGAGGCAAAGCAAATGAGTGCTCAGGCCCGGTGTTTTTGTTTTTGTTTTTATGTGTCTGGAACCCCGGAAGAGCAGTTTATTCTTTCCTTAAGAGCTATAATGGGCGTAAGAATAAATCAAAGTAAAATAATGTTAGCTACCACTGCCCCCCCGAGCCTGGAGGGCACTGTGGTCATCATGACAAATCCTTGTCCATCCTCATCTGTTAAATGCAACCTAGAAAACGACACCCACAACACAATTTGTCCCCTAATCCAAATCTGGCTCTGACGTCTGGTGTCAAACTTACGCCTTCTCGTCTCTTTAATGGGTCAGAGGAACAGACATTGGGATCTGAAAGGGTTAAACGTCTACAGTAATTAGAGTCGCACTTCGCGTCGGCGTCCTCCAATACGGAGCTGCGAGAAGCTACGTCCACCCCCACTCTCTCTCTCTCTCTCTCTCTCTCTCTCTCTCTCAAACACACACATACACACGCGCGCGCCTCCCCACCAGTTCCTCCGAGTGTCTAATACACTGGAAAATCAAAGCGCGAGCCTCCCCCGTTCACACACCACCGGTGTTGCGCGTGGAGCACAACAGAGAGGGAGAGAGGTGCTTTCACTCTCCTCTCCTCTCCCGTCCCCTCAGCTTAACTATCCAGTAAAGTTATCGAGATATATGTTACAAACTTAGATCTGAAGATTTTTTTTGTCATTTGGGACAGCCTCTGTTTTCCTATGTACTTTTTGCTGTACAGCTGAATGGCTTTATGAGGCGAAAGATGTCTGGGTGAGGTGGTTTTACGCGCGCCGCTGAAATGGATCACAGACTCTCCAGAGGCAGTTGGGTACCGGTCACTGGACTAGTGATATGTCTGCTTCTGTGCGGGTGTGTAGTGGACCTGGTTCTTGCGCAAATTCGGTACTCCATTCCCGAAGAGCTGGAGCATGGAGCTTTTGTGGGCAACATCGCCGAAGACCTGGGCTTGGATGTGGCCAAGCTGTCAGCCCGTCGATTTCGTATAGTCTCCGGCGCAAAGAAACAGTATTTAGAAGTGAACTTGGAGAATGGCATTCTCTTCGTCAACGAAAAGATAGACAGAGAGGAGCTGTGTGAACGAAGCCCGAACTGCTTTTTACACTTACAAGTGGTCATTGAAAACCCATTAGAACTGTACAGAGTGGAAGTGGAGATTTTAGATGTCAACGACAACTCCCCCAGTTTCCCCTGGAGTGAGTTTAATCTTGACATCACAGAGTCCGCTGCGCCCGGCTCCTGTTTCCCGTTAGAGAGCGCACAGGACCAGGACGTGGGCACCAACTCTCTGCGCTCCTACCAACTAAGCGCAAACGAGCACTTCATACTGAATATCCAGACGCGCAATGATGGAAGCAAGTTTGCTGAGCTGGTGCTGGACACCCCTCTGGATCGGGAACAGCAGAAAAAGCACGAAATGGTTCTAACTGCTATTGATGGGGGGTCACCGGAACGCTCTGGGACGGCAGTGATAACTATTACAGTTTTAGACGCAAACGATAACGTGCCCGTATTCGACCGCTCAGTTTACCGGGCGAGCCTGGTGGAGAACGCACAGAGGGGGACGCTGGTGCTGAAGCTGAACGCCACGGACCTGGATGAGGGCTCGAATGGGGAGGTCACCTACGCATTTAGCGGACACGCACCCCTCAAGGTGCGTGAACTGTTCAACGTGGACCCGTACACGGGTGAAGTCCGAGTGAAGGGCGTTGTGGACTATGAGAAAGCCAGTGTATATGAGCTGTATGTGCAGGCAAAAGACAGGGGACCTTCGGCTGTGGCGGTACACAGTAAAGTGCTGGTAGACATCCTGGATGTGAATGACAATGCGCCCGAAGTCATCCTCACATCAGTGTCCACTCCTGTACAGGAAGACGCGCCACCGGGCACGGTGATAGCTGTTATCAGTGTCATGGACCGGGACTCGGGAGAGAACGGGAACGTTGACTGCCAAATTCCGAGCAACGTCCCCTTTCAACTCCATTCATCTTTTAAAAACTACTATACTCTGGTGACAAGCGAATTTCTGGACAGGGAAGCAGTGTCCGAGTACAACATCACCCTCACAGCCCGAGACTTGGGGTCTCCCTCGCTCTCCACAAGGAAAACCATCCTCGTTCAAGTGTCTGACATTAATGACAACCCCCCGCGGTTCTCTCAACCTTCATACACAGTTTATGTGACCGAGAATAATGCCCCCGGCGCTTCCATTTGCTCTGTAACAGCATTCGACCCCGATTCTAACCAGAACGCCTATCTGTCCTATTCTATTCTCGAGGGTCAGATTCAGGGCATGCCCGTGTCCACTTATGTCTCAATCAACTCTGACAACGGCAATATCTACGCACTGCGCTCTTTCGATTATGAGCAACTTAGAAACTTTCAGATTCTGGTTCAGGCGCAAGATGCTGGTTTCCCCCCTCTCGCCAGTAATGTCACAGTCAACGTCTTTGTCTTGGACCAGAACGACAATGCACCTGTCATTGTATCCCCGCTGCCCAAAAACGGCACCGTGGCCACAGAGGTGGTTCCGCGGTCTGTAGATGCTGGGTATCTGGTTACCAAAATAACAGCGTTAGACGCGGACGCAGGGCAAAACTCCCGGCTGTCCTATCAGGTGTTGCAGGCTACAGACCCGGGGCTGTTCAGTGTGGCTCTGTACACGGGCGAAATCAGGACTATCCGCCGACTAGTGGAAAAGGACGCAACAAGGCAAAGACTGGTAATATTAGTCAAGGACAACGGGCAGCCGCCGCTCTCCGCCACCGTCTCCATTGTCCTCACAGTGGTAGACAGCGTGCCGGAGTCGCTGTCAGATTTCGGAGACCTCACACTCAGCCCACAGCCCCCCTCAAACCTCGCTCTCTACTTGATCGTGTCACTGAGCACAATATCTTTAATATTCCTGGTGGCAATTATCGTGTTGGCTGCGGTCAAGTGCTACAAGGACAGGGAGACCCTGAGCGGGTACAACCTCCCCCCCTTCGCCTGCTGCTGTTGCGGAGGGTTTCAGCCCGAGCCGCCCCCGGAGGTGTTCAAAAAATCCAACCTCAACCTGCAGATTTCATCCGCGGCCAAAGTGCCCACGAACTGCATGGAGGTGAATGGAAACAGCAGTCTCTCACAGTCATACTGCTATAAAGTGTGCCTGACTCCCGAATCTGCCAAAAGTGACTTTATGTTTCTGAAGCCGTGCAGCCCCGGCAGCACACCGAGGAACAACGAGACGAAGAGCGCAGAAAACTCGTGGAACGCGCAAAGCCGGAGCGCATCTGTGAACAACGGAGCAACTACTCCCAATGAGGTACAGTGAAATCAGCGTACAGTATAACACACCAGAGCTTATGTTGCTCAGTTAAATCCTTCTGTTTCACTCACTGCCACAACAAAACCCATCTCACTTTTCTATCTGATAAAGAATCTAGACTGTGACATTCTCCCATGAAGGTCAAATCACGCATTCCAGACAAATTTAAAGTCAACTTGAGCAAAAAAAAAAACTAAACAAAGGGTTTATTTTCTTCTCTCTCTCGCGCGCGCGTTACTAAGTGTGTTACACAGTATGTTGTCTCGACTGTTCTTTGTTTTGTTTTTTTTATACTTGTGGCAATCATTCATCCCAATTGTGTAGCCTATGGTGGTGTTTTACACCCGGGAAATGAAATGAGACGATGTGAGATTAGATTTTAATTGCCATGTTAATGAAAGTGTAAAACCTATCTTGCGAGGAGCATATTCTGTGCGCTTACCGTGTCTTATCATCTGTATAGACTGGAGTGAGATATCAATTACTGCGTGAGAGGAAGAGCAGATGTAGTTCAAGTTGACACCTCTATTCAGTCTTGGTGACATTTCCAGATGCCTTCACGACACGTTTTCTGGGGGGGAAATACACGTGGAAAGAGCTTTTAATAATAATTTATGAATTGAATTATACTAGTATGTGTCCTGTGAGATGAATGTCCACATCAGCCACTGTCATTGCCACATACTTTTCATGCAGAGAGGGGACACACACCTGGTTACAGCACATCTACCTGAGTTTGAACAAAAAGTCAAGGTTATATACGTGACTGACAAGGTGAATGGCAGTTGTTTTAATTCATCTGCGCTTGTTTCAGACAATTCTTGTTCGACCAGTTGGGTTTGCGATACGCCTTCTTGTTCTCAAACTAACAATATAGGACAGATAACCTCACTAACTATGCCTCAAGGGCACAAGCACGGCAGAGCCATTATACTACACACAATGTGGCGTATTCGCAAGGGGGGGCTGTCCATTATTGATGAAAAATGGCAAATGGCCGGTTTTGGGGAGACAGGGGAGGACACCGAGAGGGGAGGGGGCAAGGAGATGGAGGGGGTGCAAGGACATGGCTGGACTGAGACGTGGGCCGCCTGTAGATCGGCCCCAGCGATGTCCTCTGAAGCCGAGGAGAGAGAGAGAGAGAGAGAGAGAGAGAGAGAGAGAGAGAGATGTGGCTTCATATTTGTCGAGCAAGGGTGGGGGAAAGGAGGGGTGTAATAGAAGGAGGGGGAAGGAAGGAGACAAGGAGAAAGAGAATTTACGGAGGCAGGATGTCTACACCAGTGTTTTCTAATTCTTATAGACGGGGCAGCAGACCGTAAATATGTGCGTATTGCTCATTTTCGCCTCCCTGTTTTTCATCAAAACGCAGAGGGACAAAGACTCAGAGTCCTGATACCAGACTCCACCAGGCAGACTGAGAAATGTCAGCTCGGTCACTGGCACATACACCTCTGGCCACAAGAGGGATTTCGAGGTCACAGTGATTGTTCTGCCTGCAGCTATGCTCCTTCAGGAGAAAGTGTCCTTCCTGCTGTTAATTGGTTCCCCTAATTCACCCAGTGGTGTCCCTCTGCGCACCCACGTGAGTCGTCGTGAGGTCGTCAGTGACACATTAAATCTCAAAGGCGAATCACGATGGAACTACTTGAGCATCACACAAAGTAAAGTACACGGGCCTGCTTAAGTTGATGAATTGAAGGTGAAAAGAGAGATTAAACACACACCCGAGCGTGTAAGACAGGCAGGACAGGTGCGCGCTGTGTATGCGTGCTACGCGTGTTGAGCTGTCTCGGGTTATATACAGCTGCAAGGACCGCAAACTTTTCAAGGCTCTCTGAGAGACTTTTAATTAAAAACCTTGCTCGAGGAGCATCAGGCAAATATTAATGTAAAATGATGCATAAAATCCACAAAACAATGACGTGTGTAATTTTCTTAATTTCCTCCCTGGCACGGTTTCCTTTGAAGATTAAAATCATGTTTCGTTTCATCCCGGTGGGGTTCTAATTGGTTTTGTGCGTAGTTGGCGAGGGGTGTATTTTGAATACCGATTCTAATAATACGCTTACGTCGCATTCTCCTTGTTAACAACTTTAAGTGAATTAATAGAGCGTGGAATCCATACTATGAGACTCAGACCCGGAATAAATATCACTCGGGTGCTCTCCTTAACCCCTCCCGCTGCGCTACAGAGGATAAAAGCAAAACTAAGTGACAGGCGAGTCGTAGCTGAAGGCGACAGCACCTCCGCTCTTCAACAGTTCCGTTCTGCCAAACATCCACAAGGTGGCAGTCACGGTCCATGTGAAAAGAGTAATGTCTCCATTTCAGGAGGAACACAAAGATAGACTGCTCCTCCTGTCAATTGACACTGACCTCTACTGAGTCAAGAGGACAGGATGAACAGGAACGTTTGTTGGTAAAACCGGTTTGATTGAAACTTATTCTGAAGAGAGACATTCCTCAAACTGAACAGTGACATTACAATACTATTACTTTACATGGGGATTGTGTCATTTTTATTAATGTTTTTTTTCCTTCTTTTTCCTACAGCTGAAGCAGCCAAACACAGACTGGACTCTCACAAAGAATCAGAATTCCTCCATTAAAAGGTACCGTTGTTGACTTTTGACAACCCAATATAAACATTTTTCTCAATATTATATTGTGTACAAGTATAATTCTCACATATTAACCTGAGGTATATACAGCTGACGTAAAAAAAAATCCCCCCAGTTAAAATGGATATACAATAGATATTGAATTTACCTACCAGTAAAGTATGTTGTCATTACAGACTGGTATCTTGTTTGCAGTTATAACTCTATCAACATGGATGGCACCCTCATGCGTAAGGCCATGCATGCAGACCCAGAAAACTACGTCACTTCCATGGCACCTGGACAGTACTGGACCTGGGGTACTCACATGAGAGGCATGAAAGGTAAGAGAGGGCAAACAGCTTTCATCAAAACACACATGTAGGGTTAAGTATGGATTTTTGTTTTTACAGCATGTACACCCAAACACGAGTATATGTCAGAGCACACCTCCATGCTTTTATTTAATGACATTCAATGGTTTCTCTTAATTGGTTTGTCGGTATAGTCTTATCTCACCTCCACTACCACTAACATAAGCAGGGTTATATTCATACTGCATCATTATGGGTCTACTTTTGTATTTTTGTTGCTGATCTCTTCTTTTGTTGTAGGTCACTGTTTATTGTGCAGATTGCAAAGCACTAAACAAAAAAAAAGTGCTTTGCAAATGAAAATAACACTACAGTAGTAAGTCAATATTGCATTAATAAGTAGTTGCTTCTCCTGTTACAGACTATAAGATGTCTCCTTCGACCAGTGGGGTCCCCTCTCGCCCCTGGACTCCTCGTTGCACACCACCTCCCCAACAGCAGCAGCCAATCCCCTCCCACCCCCACCCTCACCCTCACCCTCACCCTCACCCACCACCTGACTACCACCACAATGTGTACATCCCGGGGACACCATCAGGCTTTTGCACCCTGAGGCCCGCAGTGCAGCGAAGTGAGCTGGACGTCCATAATTCCTTCTCCACCTTTGGCAAGAAGCGACGTCTTCAGATGTCCCCCCAGGGAGAGGCTGCGATTATAAATAATGACCTGTACAATGACTGACTTATCAATGTCTGAGTGGATGATTAAAATGATGGATACTCTCATATGAAAAAGAGGAAGAGACCATTCAGTACATACATTAATGAACATATGATTTACAAGTGGTATGAAAAATACAGAGGGTGCAACAATTCACTCAGTGAAATAATGAATGAACAATCCATTTTGGCTAAAATGCTGAAGGAAATTTAAGTCTGATGGCTATTTATGTGACATGCCACAGTAACATGGCCAATGTATGCGTCTGCCTATTGTTATTATTATGATTATGATTATTATTATTATTTAGACAATCAAACTGGAGCAGCAATTACATCCATAATGTTTTGAAAAAGCATTAGTGGACAATAATTTTGCACATCCTTATGAATTTATATTTTTGGTTTTATGAAAAGTGTTTTCCTTTTGTATGTTTGTTTGCTAACAGAGCTTGTGTGAATATGACCAATAGTATGATAATGTATATGCAAGCTGCGACATGATGCAGACAACTGTAAAGACGGGGGATTTTCCCCACACATGTACTGTATACATTTATGAAAATAAAGTATTTTTTTCATATGGTCTTATTTCTCTTACACACACAGACATTCGTGGTGTGTTCTCAATCTAAAGTTCAAACCTCGCCTACACACACTGATACACGCACACATTTAAACAGAGATCGATTTACATGCATAAAGCATTTAGATGTACGTTTCCAAGATCTATGTTTAATTAGCTTGAGTCAATTATTTTGGGGTGAAAAAGTTCCACAGCTACTCTTACAAGGGTGGAAAGCTTTTCGCCTTGGTAAGCTGTTTTCCACGGTGAGGAATAAACATAGTAAAATGCTAACATATGCTAATTGGAGTGCTTGCATTTCCATTTGCCCGCAGAGAATAGTGAGGTTCATTAACTGAACAAACAGAACCTCCTCTCTCGAAATATCACTTTAATTAAGACCACGAACATGAATACAAGGCGTCAAGGGAAGGGGGGCTCAGCTCCAAATGCCACACCTGGATGGGAGCTAGGGGGCCTGTGACTTCTCTGTGTGCCCTTTTACATCTTACTTCTCAGGGAATTAGCTCATACTATCAACAGATGAGAGCTGGCCACTGGCCAGAAATGAGCAGGGTAATTAGGTCGTCCTATGGCTCAGATTGAAAATAATTCCGTTAATAAGGAAACGGGTGTCCGTAGAGAGCATGGGGGGAGCAGGCTAACCTTCTCTGCGGTAAGGTGATCCATAGGGACGGCTGAAGGGGCAGTCGTTTTTAGGTCAGCATGGCTTACTTTCAGATGAGTGAGGAATAGAGCTCTGTTCTTAATATAGAGTTGTAGGATTATTCTTACTCTCTGCTCCAAGAACGCCTGTAAAGTTATTTTAATTTCATTAAAGCAAACATATTCAGTAACATCAAATCCATGCCTTTACCTGGAGACCAATCCAAATAGGATTATTTCAGTTTCTTTTAAACTTCTGGTTTAAGCTGGTGAAATTTTAGTGAAATCATAGTGTGATTGGTGAAATTGTGCTTATAAAAGGTACAAAATCTCGGTTCTGTTACAGAACATGATAATATACACAGAACAGCTTGTGTCACTTCACTGGTTGGTCATCACATTGGGAACTGTCCACGGCCATGGTGCTGAAATTGTTTTGACTAGTGACTATTTTCCAGCCAGCTGCAATTTCTTAAGTTATCCACCAGAGGGCACATCTGACACTGCTTAATGAAAACTGGTGCAGTGTGTTGGATGAATGTTTTTGAGGCACCCCTCTTACTCTCCAGGACACACACACAAATCTTAAACCCACATTAGACACCCCTTAACTCCTACCCATGAGGTACTGAACTGGCTAACAAGTATAAAGCTTGCTTAGTAAATACATGGAAACCTACCAGGAAACAAGATGGTAATACAATAGGCATTAGAAAAGTACCCATGAGAAAAGGATAGTAAGTACAAAGTTATTACCTAGTAAGTTAACTGAAATGCACTAGGAAAGTAGATGGTGAAAATATCCTTACTTAGGATGTACCCTAATAAATGGTGAAGTACTAAGTACTTCAGTAGTACTAAGTGGTTATGTAGGAAGTACTTATTACACAAAAGAAAATATAATTTAATACTCGGAAAGAATATGGTAATTTGAGTTTTGAATCAAAAAACATTTTAAGGCGGACTATGTATATTGGGTTAGAAAGAACTGGGCATATGAATGGCTTTATTTACAGTCTTAGTATATGTTTGGTACACACAAAGTAATAATTTAGTACTATGAATGAGTATTTATTAAGGATTCTTTATTAATATTTGTGGGTACCATAATCTATAGCAATGCACCATATTTTATAAACTTGAATTTTGTATGCAACATCTTACATGTTACATTACACTAAATAATAACTATAGCTGTCAAATAACTGTAGTGGAGTAAAAACTACAATATTTCGGGCGGATAGCTCACCTGGTAGATCTGGCGGCCCATGTACCAAGACTGAGTCCTTGCTGCAGTGGCCATGGGTTCAAGTTCGACCTGCGGCCCTTTGCTGTGTGTCATGCTCTCTTTCTTTCCCCCCTTTCCTGTCACTCTTCAGTTGTCACTATCAAAAACCTTCAAAAATAAAAATAAAACAATAACACATATACATATATTTTACACTGAAATGTAGTACAGTGGCCTCAAAGTAATACAATAAAGTACATATATAAATAGTAAGTAGTAAGTAAGTAAGTAAGTAAGTAAATAAAGCAATAAAGTAATAAAGTATAAATAAAGTACCTGAAATGTATGCTTAGGTAAAGTACCTGAGTAAGTGTACTTAGTTACAGTCAATACTGCTTGGGGAAGCATCCCTGTATGACAAAGTATTATGGACAAATTAATTATATAAGTAATTTACCACATTCAAACAGGGTTCCCTGGTTTTTATTTTATATGGCAATCAAATACTAGATAAAATTGTACTAGTCACAATATACAGTATGTGCTTATGATGAGCATTTGCAACATCTTCTAACACTGGCATAGCAACAGATTCCCAGCAGAGGGCATCATTGAGTAAGAATCACTGAACACCAAATAAACAAGAGAGGAAGAGTAAGTTCATTGTGCTTTGTAGGTGGAGGAGGTTACCATTAAATAAGTCAAAACAATGTCAGACAGAAAAGGGGGGAGAAAAATAAACAAGGGTGTGCAGGTGGGAGGGGGAGAGAAACTTGCAGTTCTCTCTCTTTTCACACAAAACCACATGAAACAGCATAGTATAAGTACTACTCATCAAAATAAAATAAAAGTTCTGTTCTATATGATATATATATACATATACACTTATATAGATATAGATAGGTGGATAGATACAGCTACAAATCTGTGCTTTGTTTGTATTATAGAGTATAGGGTGTAAATTGGAACTGAATTCGACTAAAATCATTACACTGCAATAATTTACATATTTTCATTTGGAAATGAGAAGGTGTTTGTTTGGATCATATAATCTAAAAAAGTACTTGGATATGCACAGCTATACAGTATGGACATGACATCATCGAAGCTCCTATTGAAAAATAATACATCAAAACAAAGGGCAAATAAAAAACTGTTCGGTTCAGTCATATTCATGCACTTCATTGACAATAATTGAATATGATTTCTGCAATGTGTATATTTTTTGTTTATAAATAATACTTTTTTCACTGTACTGTTTATCCAGCTAAAACTTACAATTTGATTCATGATACAGGAGAATATCAAAACAAAACATCCAAATACTTTCTTAAAAGTGGTAATGACTGTATAGAAAATTCAATACAAAATAAAGAATAAAATATGCATTTTTTTTTAACAGAAGAACAATTTTGTACAAATGAGCCACTAAAAATGAAGGCTGAAGAGTAGGATATTAATGATAGGTCTGGATAGACAAGGTGGCCCTCAAAACACAGGAAGTCAGAATATGGCTCATCACCTCCAAGTTTTTCAACAACTAACCACTGTCGCACAGATAACAGCATATCAGCTTAACAACAATATCAACAGGATTTAACAACATGTAATTATGAGGCACTAGGATGTGTAATAAACTGGTAGAATAACTGAACAAGGACAGCAAAATGTCTGTTACCAGTATACTCTGTTAAAGGTCTGTTTTCCAGAATAAAGATGTGCAGAAGTTGTCGGAACACACGTGGAGTATCATATGCCTCCATGTTTTTTGGTAGCCTATGTGCCTGTCTGTGGAGGCTGTGTTCTCGTTCATAATGTAACAAACAAGAACTTTCTGAAGTTAGTTACAGGAAAACAACCAAGCAGGCTGATTGAGATCTTCAATATGTTGTAGAGACCAAAACCACAAACAAGAAGAAAAGAAAACAAGACACAAAAGCTAATACAAAAGATAACAAGGAGCGACTTCAACTTGGCAATGCTGTGTTGAACACTGAACTGAAACCACACAAGATATAGCAAAACCTCTGCACTATAATCATAATCTCAGGTAGGAGGAGAGTCGTTATTGCCCTCATCTCTCACCAGTGGTTGGATTTTTGAATAATAAAGTTGTCTGTGGGTCCTGATGTAAATCATGTGGGCAGAACCATAGAGCAACCCTGCACTGGTGGCTCATAAAGGGTTAAAAGCTCTGACATATAGCCAGTGGCAACTAAGCACAATCGTGAGGCTATTGTACTTTATGTGGATGTTTTACTTTATGCATCTACTCCACTACATTTCAGACAGTCTCTTGTAGTAGACGGGACAGGGACATGTAAAGAGTGCAATCTCTTTTTTTGGGCTGACTTAAGTTTAAACTGAATTTAAATTGTATTGTATGCTGCAGTTTTTTATGGGTGATGTAGAGATCACTGACAACAATCAAGGCCTGAAGTACAAAGACCTTAATTTGCTCCTGATTAAACTGGTTATATGTCAGTGTTGTTATTCATTTTGTATTGTAACAACTTTCACTGGTTTTTGTCTTTTGTAACCTGGATTAAAAACAACAATTGGGCAGTAGCCATTATTCAACTTTTTGTCCTTTGGCTCCTCTGTTTCATGTAAATGTGCACTTAGCAGCAGAAAAAGTCCCAAGTGAGAGGAATGCTATCAAACAGTGTTCAATACTGACTTAAAATGAAATATATTTCCAAACCTGTTTCCACACAGAACACCAAGCAATGGATTCAGGTAAATGGAAATACTAAATACTTTTCAGTTTGATTGCACAAGGGCATCCGGCTCATTTCATTTTAACATAATGTCAAAGCAATACCTGTCAAAAGCTAATCATGTCATTCACATGGATATGAAACTCAATTACATCATGTAATATCCCCCAGTTGATTTTCTATATCACTTAACCAGGAGTTGAAACTTATACAAGCATGCAATGGGCAAGAGGCAGGGTGCAAGCTGTCATTCTATAATAGGTCACACTGATACCTACACCACTGACATACACTGATCAGCCATAACATTATGACTATCTGGGCACCTTGGTGGTCATAATGTTATGCAGCCCAATACACAACAAACTGTGACACACTGTGTGTTCTGACACCTTTCTATCA